GTGACGGCGCACCTGCAGCGGGAGGAGCGCGCGCCGCGCCACATGGTGATGCAGCGAGGCTGAGAGTGCAAATGAAGACGGGGGAAAAAAAAAACTTATCCGGACCTGGTTCGGGTGTGCACAAATGAATGCCGAACTGTTTACATGTTTACATGATGGAGCATCCTCCGGTCGGATGCCGAAGGACCACACTGCCTGCAGCCGGAGGAGCGCGTGCCACAGCACATGGTGACGCAGCGAGGCGACAGTCGGTGCAGGTGAAGTCAGTGCTCCAGTGGGACGTACAAAAGCTCGCTGAGTCTGGACCTTGTGTGCTGTGGGAAAGGGTGACAGTCAGACTGTCTTTCCAAAAAATAAAAAAAGGTAAAGCATAAACGGGATGATTGTCACCCCGCCGGAGCGCGCACAAATTAAACACGTGGAGAGCAGAAAAAGTAATCTGCAAAGTGTGTAGAAAGGAATAAATACAAGCAATTTGTTTTACCACCTTAAAACGAAGCAGGTGATTCCAAACACAACATCCAATGGATGCAGATATCAATTAGGTCTCCCTTAGATTTAGATTTTTATGGGAGACTTCAGCCTGGTTAAAACCAGACCCTGTTCTTCACTTTGCTGCGTACAAGAGTCTGGACTTGATGCATAGAGAATCGTTTCTAGCAGGAGGCGTGGCCTCTCCTGAAGCATGTGTGTGTTGTCGGTGTGAAGGAGGCTAAGCTAAGAAGCTAACCGGAAATCGCATGTGCTGTAAACAACCCTACTGAGAGCAGAAAAGTACCGAGCCGAACGAGACGACTTTAAATGAGAGCTGCTGCTTTGTCAGACAAATTTATTTCAATTTGGAAGCCTTATCAACACAGACTGGCTTCATTCTCTTCCTCCACTGCCTTATGCTAAAATAACTAGCAGACACTGCACAGCACATCGACGTCATTCAAAACTCTGCTTTCTGTTTGCTGATTGGCCTAGGTAAAATAAACTACAAGCAGGCACTGCGCAGAAAATTGACGTTCTGTTCTCTGATTGGCCCGGCTTAAAATTTGCCAGCGAAATTCATCTCAATAGGAGAAGTCCCAGATGGAGTGGTGAAGGGAAACTAGAATTGAGCAGGGCTGCGTAGGAAGGCAAGGGCCTTAAGAATTAGTCAGTTATTTAAATTGATAGCTACCTTTCTTACTGCTGCATTTTCTGAACATCATGTGGAGATCAGCCTCTCTCTCCTGCAGGGAGCAGTTTTTATCACTGCTCTCATCATGTCGAGCTCATATTCCAAAACAAAAGCTGCACTCTCCTTTCTTTTGTCCAGCAAGAGCTAATCCATGGGATGTCAAAACTGTAAGCGTGCTGTCCTCGCTTCTGCCAGCTTAGAACCACCGACAGGACCAGAGAGGAGGTCCCGAAACAGCGCGGCTGTGTGTGGTCACTGGACCGAGGCTGAACGAACCGAGCCGAACCGCAAAGCTGCTGCCAGGGTGGAGAGTAGTTTTAGCTCCGGTTTAAAACGTTCACGGTTCTGTGTTCCCATGGAAAGCTTGTGCGTGACAACTTTGCACTTAACTGCAACTCTGTTTCTGATGAAAATAGAAAGTTCTGCCGACATTCTTGCTAACTTGTTAGCGCAGCATGTTGTTGTGATCACGTGAGCGCTACATGCTGGATCCAAGCGCTGCTGGATAGAAACACTGGAGTGGAGTCAGTGAACTGCTGGATTGAACTGCTAATATCGGAGCGCTCATATCAAACATATTTTATGCAGGCCAATAAAATCCGATACTCATTTTTTGGCTGATATCGGACCGATATACCCCTAATATTTACACTTAATGACTCATCAAACGTGCTTTGATGCAGTTATGATGGATCACGTTCCGGACTTTTCTTCTTTAACTCTTGAGTTGTTCATAACATACAGTTTGTTTGGTMACAAATGTCTTCATGAACGCAGTGATGCTCATCTTGTCTGTTACCTGACCCTCTTCATAAAATATTTAAATGTTCTCCCGTAAGACACAACATTAAAGTAGCTTCTTTGTTTTGCAAGTTGAACCATGTATGTTTAGTCTTGTGAGAAATGCTGACTTTACAAATCAGCAAATTAAACTTGACATTTTCAGATAAACATTTTTTAACATGTGATATTTTGGGTTTGTGTTGATTTGTCTAGAGATTTTATTGGTTTTTTAATATTAAGTTTTCAAAAATTGCATGTGCAAAACATTCATTAGCCTCAAGAATAAAAAGGCTAGATTGGACTTTGCTTTTATAAACATCTAAAAATGCCAGCAGAGTTCTGTGCTCAGATACATTTTCTTGGTAACTGTTGAAAAAACGGCAACGAAATAAAACAACTGGCCTGCAAAAGGACAGAGGTTTAATTTTAACTAATGCAGTCTTTCATAGCAGTATGTCGATTTTACTAAATAGTTTTTATATAAGCTTGAAAAGCGACACTCATTTTGCTTGTTACTCCGCTCTGACTGATATCATGACTGAAAAAGTACTAATGAACTATTTGAGAGCACCACTGTAAAAATGACCAGACTATCCTTTTAAACAACAAAAGCCAGGATTTAATGTGTCGTCTTTGTCCTAATCACACTAGCCATCAACTCAACTGTCCTATCAGAATTAATCTCTATTTATCCAAACTGAGGTAGTGCTATCAATTCAATTGAAAAATATTTTATTGAACATAAAGGGAAATTAGATCTGCAACAAGTAAGATATTATTTGTACATAACCTCTCCACAGAACCTGACTAGAGGGGTCTGATTTATCGCAGCTGCAGTTTGGGATTTAATCTGATTTTGGAAACGTCACAACGATCTAATCCCTGCTGTTTTTCTTTTGCCTGCAGGATCCTGACAGAGACTGAAGTGGACTCTCACCTCATGTCCCTGGCAGAGCGGGACTGAGCGAGCAGAGACCTGCCACCTGTTAGAAGATTGACTCTAGAGCATGATGGGATATGGAGTTTCCAGACCGAGGCTGGCGTTCTCTGTTTGCTGTACATTTACCTCCCCCCACCCACCTCCCCTCCGTTTCATTCAACAATAAAGTTTTTGGAGTAAAATAACCATTTTGTTTGCAGTTGATAATTTTTACYTTAATTATTAAGTTAAAGGTGAAGGTTTTTATTTATTTATTGTGCACTGTAAGCTGATGCCTCTGTTCTACAGCTCAGTTTGGCAGCAGGGGAAATTGAGTGTGTGCAGATTCTCCCCCTCWGCTTCCTGTTGTGCCTCTGATCACATGACCCAACAACGTGCAGCCAGGAGGTAATTTGACTACTCTGAATGATGCAGAGCTGATTTGACCTCGTTTCTTTTTCTTTTTTTTCTCTGCTGCACAAAGTATTTTCAGAAATAGATAACCGGAAATTTACAACCCGAATAGTTTCTCTTTGCTGAGGGAAAGTTTGTTCGCCCTGATAGTTCGGAGTGGTTTGAACAGAGCTGACACACCAGCTCCAGTTTGTAATGGAGCGGGTGATTTTAGTCAATGAACACGTCGACTTCAGCTTATTGTCATCAGGATAACCAGAAACTGTGTGAACGATTCACCCGTTAGTCATTTGAAGCTTTCGGATGAGTTTCGTGACATCAGTTCTGATCTTCCTGCGGTGTTGCCAAATCTGACAAATTCACTTAACGTGCATTTTCTTGTCCTAAATCAGGGGTCTGCAACCTTTATGATCAAAAGAGCCATTTCTGCTCCTTGGCTCACTAATAAAATGTGTCCAGAGCCGCAAAACAAGCTACAACTGTGATTATCAATTGCTGGCCCGTGGGCCTTTTCGAGGCCTTTTCAGGAACCTTTATGATTAGTGTAGGTGACATTATGAAACTAAAAAAATATATTGTGAATTTTATTATTTATTAATATTTTTACACAAGAGGACAAATAAAACGACCAGATTCATGTAAACAAGAAAAATACTGTAAATAGTTTTTACAGAATTTCATAAAAAATAGTTCAATTGAACTATTCACTTGTATATTTTTTTCTAATTCCAATTACTATGTAGTTTTCAAATTCTTTAAAGGTAATTCTGATGGATTTGAGACAGATTATAGAAAGAAGTTGGATTATTTAAGTAAACAGGCTAGCATGTGTTTACGTTTTATCTTTTGGATAAGTAGTATTGCTCACACATTTGCACACACACATATATATATATATATATATATACACTGCTTTAAAAAATAAAGGGAACACTTAAACAACGCACGCTAACTCCCGATCTTAATCAATGAAATATTTGCATTGAGTACTTTGTTCTGTACAGAGTTGAATTTGCTTCACAAGTTTGATTTACTTGAACTTAGCGTGCGTTGTTTGTGTTCCCTTAATTGTTTTGAGCAGTGTATATATATATATATATATATATGAGTATATATACACAGCATATATTCACATTTTTAAAGAGCCACATGGCCCCAGAACTGCAGGTTACAGACTCCTGTCCTAAATGAATGTTTCCCGGTTACTACATGACTGTAGTAGCCGTTGTTTCCTGCGTACTGTTCAGATTTTAATACAGGGAAACAGTGGCTCTTACGGTTAATTTGGAAATTATAAGAACTGGCTTCATATCAGGGAAGTTTTGTACTYCCCAGACTTTGTTTCCTGGTTAGTGATTTTTATTTTCAAAGATCGTTTCCTCCTCTGTGCATCAGTCTGGTTGTGCCAGTTCTCGGCCACCGTTCAGAATTTTTTATTTTTTTTTTACAGCACTTGTTCCTCCTCCTGCTGCCCGGGGACTTTCAGCGCCGTGACTCAGAGACCTGCTGACCTCGCCCAGCAGAAAGGAAATCCCATACTGTTCCAAGAGGGGCCGAGTCAGGTTTTTTTTTTCTTCTTTCCCCTTTCACAAGGACAATGACTGTACCCTCAGTCTGAGTAAGAAATGATTGTATAATTGTGGAAAAGCCACAGTGCAGTCACTTCACTTATGGAAATTCAATTGCTCAGATTAATGAAACAAGTTGAAACCATCATGTTCATAGATCTGTTTTATTTTGAACTCATGGTAATAGTGTTTGAATTCACACCAGGTACAAAAATAATCTCTGTATTTACAATATACAATATAATACATGTGTCTAGTGTATACATATTAACATATTTATACAGATACAGGACGACCGTATGGAGGCCTCGCCATCATGGCTTTATTACAGCAATCTTTGACCAGACTGGACGCAGTCTTCCATCCTGTTTGCGACCCCGAGGCCAGCACCTGTGGTTCTGCGCGGACCCTCGGTCAGGGCGAGAGCCGTGTCTCGGCAACCCCTCGTAGCAGCTCGATACCACCAGAGGCGAGGTTCTCTTTACTTTCCAAACTTGATGTCGTCGTAAACCTGGAGACGAGAGGAACRTTAGGGACGCGTTCTTTGAGCGGTTTGATTTAAGCGAAACCTGCGTGGTCCTGAAGCGGACACTGACCTCGTCCTCCGACAGACCCTCCATGTCGCTGTCGTCCGACTCGCTGTCGGGCATGTCCCTCAGCTCCTGCGACGTCCTGTCGTACAGCTGCGAGCGGATTTCGTTGTTGTGACGCCCGAACGTAAGGTGGTACGGCGTGAAGCCACCGTAGTTCAGGCAGTTGACGTCGGCGCCGAGGTTGAGRAGGCAGCAGACGAGCGTGGGGTTCTGGTGATCGACAGCCAGGTGCAGAGCTGTCCGACCGCTGCAGGGCTCCTACAGGAAACAAAACAAACAGTTAGGTTCCCGTGCGACATGGAACGTTTTATGAATTTAGTTATTTCTCTGTGAAGTTCAGCTTTTATCTTAGGGGACACCTACCTGTGCATTGATGTCTGCACCCAGCCGAATCAGACTTTCCACCAAAGAAATATAACCGTTGACGGACGCCAAGTGGAGACAGTTGTGTCCTGGAGAGAAAATTAGGATAAGCTCAGTTAAAACCCAAGAGTTTGAAGTCTAAGAGAAGCATGCATGTGAGGCATTAACTCCACGCTTACCGCTGTAGTTGTAGGCAGACAAGATGGAGGTGAGGCGGCGCTGGCAGTTCTGGGTGATGACGCCGAAGCAGGTGAGGGAGCCCCGCTTGCAGGCGATGTGGAGAGGCGTGTTGCCGCTGTTGTCGACCAACAGCGGGTCGGCACCGGCCTTCAGGAGCTGGTCCAGCAACTGGGGCTGCTCGGTGATCACGGCCAGGTGGAGGGCAGTCTGGGGAAGGAGGGACACGTTTATAAAAACACTCTGTCACGCTTTTGTGTGGCTCAAAGTCTTAAACTAAATGTCAGGCGTGATGCTGGTAATCACCTGTCTTTGGTGGTTCTGGATGTTGAKGAAGGAGTGGTTGTAAGAGAGTCTGATCAAATGCTGGGCCTTTTCAGTGGCTTCGTGAATGATTGATAAATGGAGCAGCCTGTAAAAAAAAAGGGAGGAGAAAAAAAAGGGAGGTTAGGTAAAATAGCTGTTTAAAAAAAAAGAAACTACACTCAGAGGAAGTGGGCTCAGTCAGATCTGAGAGAACAAAAGCAGCARCAGCGGAGCGTTTCGCAAAAGTGGAGTTTTGTCAGGTTATTTCCACCAGTTTGTGGCTTTGACACATCTGAAGCTTTATCAGTTCCTGGCAGCGCGCCAGGGACTTTCCTGACTGCGCAGAGCGGACTTTAAGCCCCGCCCAGACTGCGCACCAACACACCAGCACGCGCATCGCTGCACGCGCACACTTCAGGAAAAAATAATAATAACACGATCGTTGTTTTTGTGCAACTTTTAAAATGATCCAAACGCTGTTTTTGCAGCTTCTGCGCGCTTGTTTAGCCATCTCAGTTTAATTAATGCTCTCCTGCGCATGCGCACACATATGGCGCAGGAGGAAATGAAGTTAAGCTAACTGCTACGCTTCGCACGAAGAGGCCAGTGTTTTTGCAGGAAAAGCTATTTAAAAAACAACAAAACACGCATAAATTCCACTTACGTATCTCCGTCTTCGGTGACAGCGGCCCTCCACGGCTCGTATTCCTCAGAAACAGGTTCCGTGGGGTCCATAGACATGTCCCCAAACTCCCTGGACAGGTCCTCGTCCTCTTTTAGCGAGTCCACGCCGCTGTCAAAGCGGTCCTCAGGGCAGAGCAACCCTTTCCCGTGCTTGGCGTCCATGTTGTCCAGGTTATAATCCATTTGTCTGTGGTTAGCTGAGCTGTGCACGTCCATGCTGAGTTTCCTCACTTGCGTCGTCTATAGAAGTCAAAGGCAGAGTGGYGAGGCAGGAGGGAGGCGCGTGGGTTATATACCTTCTGTGGGCGGAGCCTAAGTGGGGAATTCCAATTGACAGCCAGGGAAATCACACTGAGGCTGTGTGCTTTTGTGAAAAAAATCCCCCCCACTCTCCAACTGAGAGACTCAGAATGAAAACTTGTAGTTTCCTATTAGACATTTTTTTTTTTTTTTTTTTTTTACCTGTAGAGTGGCTCAGCTCAGAGGACACATGTCACTGGTGATTTCAGTGAATGAGACAAGTTGGGCATGAATGAGATGCAGGCAGCCCCTGAATGCCTCATGAAGAATTCCCTTCTTGCTCTGGGGAAATTATCCGCCTCAAGGGCGGCTGACCAAAATGCAGCACTTCGCATTTTCCGTCCCATCACCTTTGACCAAATTAAAAGCCCTTTTTTTTACAACAAATTTCCAGYGTTTAAAAATGTACAGGCAGTTCTGTGGAAACGCTACGAGCAGTTAATATCTTACCTGTTGAAGACAGCTCTTTGAACAGCCTCAGCGTGGAGAAACCAGGTTTACATTCAACAGGTTGATTTGAATGCAGCCAAAACCAAACCTGCTGCCATGTTAAAGCAACTTCTAATTCAATTTGTCAGTTTTTAAACAAGCTTTACATGAACACGTAGTTTGTTGCAAACACACATAGCAGCAAGAGGAGCTAGCATGAACAGCATAAAATGTCTGACAAATTAATCATGCAACCTGGAATAGACGGGGATTTCAATAACAGTGATTTTCCATGTACGACTAAGTTTTTAAGATTAAAATTAGACAACTAACATATGGTTTTTGGAGTGGGTTGGACTGTCTTGACAAGCTAATAATGGCTTCTACTTTAAAATACCGACAGTTTTATATATGTGGGTGTTATTAAAGTGTGATGTGTTGTTCCATCTCAACTTTCAGGTTTCAGGTGGACAGTTTCCTGTCATACATGTATGAGTCTTATAGGAAGCATGTTTGCATGTTTCTGAATGGATATTTCACAGAAATTTTTGCTTGCAGCATGTCTTTTTTTTCTTCTTCCCCTCAAACATACACGTGGTCTTTAAAACCAAATTCTGCAAAATGCCTCAAACCCATGAGTCAGAGCTTTTTCTGCATTCACAGCCACAAATGAGCTTATTAGGACAAAAAGTCCTAATGAGTGCATGTCTGCATGTTACACACAAACATTTGCACGTGTTTGAATTGTGCAAAAAARATCTTCAGAAAATTYCTCACAGCTTGTTCAAGGAACGGACAGAGGAAGCTGCCAGGATTTTCGCACTTCTCGTAATGCTTCTTTATTCAAAGCTGTGCAGTGAGCTCTGTGCAGAACAGAGTAGGAAATACTCTGAAGTTTCCTCATTGAGGTAAAACTGTGTGTTCCACAATGTAGAAATTAGCCATCAAATTTTTCACCTGGTCCACATTGAAGTATGGTTCTCTGGGAAGATTGTGATGGCTTGTTGAATTRTCTCAATTTGGAGACGTAGAGTTAAATATTTAATCGAATGATGAGCTAACAGCTAGTTTAAAATAAAGTGGATAGTTCTCATCTTAAAGCAACTCAAATCTGACAAGTTTTATAGCAGTTTGCATAAAGTCTTTGTATGAACCTTTACATCACGGTGAGTTCTGCATTACGTGATTATTTCTGCACAAGTTAACATAGCATTAGCTGTGCCAGACACAGCTAGCAGCTAGTTAGCTGCTATGCATGCCTTGCRCAGAGTTCTCAGTAAATAGCTGTATAATGTAAGATTGAGAATGATGTTTAAAAAAATGTTTGCATGAATCAAAATTTCAAAGACTGGATTTGTTTTCCTACTTTAGTCTTGACTCGAAGTAGCCATTAGCTTGTCGCGCTCTTGTTACGTCCTGCAGAGTTGCGTCGTTAAACCACTGCCCTCTCAAAACTACACCCAGATGTTTGTACGAACATTGCTTCAACACAGACATTCAGTTGTTTCGTCGTTAACTTAAAACGACTTGTCTGAGTTGTTTAAAATGCTATCTACAATAGGTAAGATAATAAATGTTCATAACCTTTACACAGAAACCCTACTTGAAAGGACCTGAACTATCCCTTTAAATCTCCTCTGGGTGTTGTAAAATACAATTACTGGAAATTGTTGATAATTTTATGCAGCTCAAAAATCTTCAGCTGGAATAAAAAATATATATCTGTCCTCTTTTCATCCTCATCGTGACATTCCTCTAAATGCTTATATAAGCATTCATGGTGCTGACTTCCTGTTTTGTTTTGTTTTTCCATCCTGTTCAGAGATGCACTACTACTTTTCGGCTTTTCTAAATGTTTCTTTTTTTTTTTTCATTTAAGATTAAACTTAATCAACACATATGCACATTGAGATATTTTCAATTTTTAAATGAAATCTGCTTCAGAATCAAGGGTGTAACTTTGGGTCAACCATTGGGGGGGTTATGCTCTAAAACCCTAAATGTCATTTTCAGCAGTTATGCTTAAATGTACCTGTAAATAACATGGTAAACTTCTGAAATCAGGTCAAAGTTACATAAAGACACAGGAGAGTTCCATATGTGTATTTAACCAGTTAATTTTTTGTTAGACTAAATGATGTCATTTTATTGGGGGGTTATATTCACTAGATCTAATTATTATGGGGTCATAGCCCCCCTTTAACCCCAATGCTATGTTCTATTTAAGTCTTCTTATGCTACTTCCAGCTATTTTCCAGCGTTTTGTGAATATTAGCTTTAGATAGCCTTGTGCTACTTTTAGCTTCTAGCTAATCTTGTTTTGCATTTTAAACAATCTTTTTGCTCATTATCGTCTTTAATCCTACTTAATTTAGCTTCATCAACTTCAGCTTTTTCTTCTGCAAACTCATTCAGCAATCATGCCTTACTGCATTTTCACATCGAATGCAATTCCTCTGTTTTATTTCTTTATTTGTTTGTGTCCTAATGTTACATTCTTCAGGAAACACCAGTTGCACAACCTGGAGTGTGTGAGAGAGCTACCTGTCTGGACTCCCCAGACATTTGAGCAAAAAAGCCCAGGATTACTTTTGTTTGAAAAGTAAGGTTGGGTGTAAACATAGCAACCGTATCCAAGGGTGAGCGACACGTTCACGCCTCTGCGAGGAGTGGAAGCTGCACCGTGCAAACACACGTCCACGCCCGGCTGGGCTGATCGTACCATCGGCCCGTGAGAGCTCGTGACATCAGATAAACGTCTCRCTGCCGGATTCCAAACATTCCTCTGCCACGTTTCATAACAAGGAAGCTGGGACATTTTGTTCTTGCTGTTCASTGTTTTTTTTCCTCTTGTTGCTAAAACATTGTCAGCTTCTGTATTTGTACGGTCAGATACCCACCCTACATGAAAAACACTGGAACTTCCACTTTTCTTTATTATCAAGTAATCATGTCACAGCTCGTCCTGTTTTAACCACAGGGTTGCTATGGACACCAAATGCTGAGAGAGCAGAGATGGTTTCAGTCTGCACACTGCCCGACCCGTCTGTGTGTCGGTACTGCCCGACCCGTCTGAGTCAGTAAAGTCCCTCTAGGTTCATCACACCCTGCTGGAGCGATGCCAACAGTCAGCTGAYAGAGTTCAGGTCATGAAACTTTCTCGTTTTCTCTGACATGACAAGATTGACCTCAGCTGATTCCAGAAAAAAAACAGCACAGCAGAAATATGTTTCAATTAAAAATAGAATATTTATGCTCTTTAATGAAACTTTAATGACTGTAGGCTTTTTAAAAGTGGAGTTTTTTTTATTGAAAAGATTATGAATAGGTAATATCTTACCTGTTCTAGATAGGTCTTTGAACAACCTCAGTTCACTTTTCAATACATTTTTTAWATGCTGCCAATTCACAACAAAAGTCACGTCAAGGGTGTTGTGCAAAACAGTTCACCAATATTATAAAATGCCAATAATTAAACAATATCTAAGGTAACCAACATACTTGCGTTGAATCTTCATTTTGTCTCCATCTCCCATGAGCAGTGCTTTGGCAACAAACAAAATGAAATACTTGTTTAACAGGAAGAAACCTCCAGCAGAACCAGAACCAGGCTCGGGTCGGGCATCGGCCTCAACTGGCTGTGGTCGGACAGGAAAATGTGGGGTGTCCCGATACCAGCTCTTCTGGAACTGAGTACAGTACAAGAACAAGTTGTTCAGATTGGGTACTCACCGAGACTAAATACTGATACTGAGTACTTACTGAGTTAGAACTTAAGCTTTACACAAAGACTTTAAAAACACATTTCTTTTATTTAAAACAAGGTAACTCTCCTCTATAGGCCTACAGCCCCGTTGACTGGATCAAATCTAATATAAAGCATGACGTTGCAAAAAAAAGATTTTGTTTCTTCTTTCTTAGATATGGATCTGACTAAATTTTGACTTGAAATGCCTTGATGCATTTTGTAAAGAGGCATAAGAGGCACAACAATGCACATAGAAGACTATAGTTTTGTGAAAGCTTAAATAGCATTAGAAGTACTTTAAAGAAATAACCTGTGGTATAAAATCTGGTGTTATAAACTATATGATAACACCTGAATTTCCCAGTGTGGGACAAYRAAGGCTGTTTCTATTCTATTMTKAYMTTAGCTGTTATGTTTGYATYATTTTAATGTATTGTATKCCTCTATTTGAATAAATATTAATCACCATGAATGTTGTCTCCTTATCGTAAAGTTTAATTAGATGTCTGAGGAAAGTAGAATTTTACTCACTTTACTACTTTACTAGAATTTTAGGTATATTATAGAGTTAGTCAAAAGACACAGGACACCCTTTTATTTCAGAAACAAAAAATGAAATATCTGAATACTTTGGCAAGTAATGGGTGAGGGGGCCTATCCTTTAGGCCAGTGTTTCCCAAAGTTGGGGTCGGGACCCAAAGTGCGGTCCCGAAACGTCAAGGTGGGGTCCTGAAAAGATTTTCTGAATTAATTACATTTTTGCCTTAGTTGTTACAAATGAGTGAGG